GCCACGAGGGCGAGTGTCAAGGGTTGAAACGTCAGCTAGTTAAGGGCCTCGATTTGCATGGGGTCGGAATTGGATTGCGTTGCCTTGACCCGCCGTTTATCCTTTTCTTCGTTCGCGCGTTCATCTAATTGCCCCTAGAGGGTCGGTGCAACCCTCTGGTCCGCGAGTAAATACGACCTCAGCCTGGGTATCCTTTAATATTTATTTATTTTTTTAGTCATTCCCCATATTAAAGAGGAAAATCAATTGGGGAATTATAAAACAAGCTGCTGATTTAAAAAATAGGGTATAGAAGCACGCGTAACATGTATATATAACCCCTTGGTTTAGAGTGCAAATACTTGACAGAGATCCTGTGGAAGTGGAAGAGAACCTGTTGATTAAACCATTGTTGGTATGTAAAAGCAAATTGCAGCGAACTAAATTAAAGAGATGGAAGTAGGCAGAGACCTCGTTGGAAGAAACATTTTCATCTCGAGAACACAACGAGTCCGCGGAATGAATCAGTAGACGTTGTTTTGGTCCGACGGGGTATTTGCATGCGGAACACGAAGATGAAATTTACTTTGAGAGCAGGTTAGGAATATTAACAAGCCTTTGACAACTTCCCGACTGTAACGAGTCTGTATCCGTTGCTCTGGTTTCTTTGGTCGCTTCACTTTTGAAACGTGTAACTGTGCCAAGGAATCGAGGCTCGTCTAGGAACGCGCGTCGCGGTGATGTCTTCGTTTAACTTCTGAATGGAACGAATTGAATAACGCAAACACGAGATCCGTTAACTCTGTAATTGACGTCTGCACCCTCGATGTTGAGCATTCGTGCGGATGGTATTAATTAAAATAGGCGACTCGGTTGGAAGAGGTTTTCTGTTTGATGTGTTCGTCTAGAAATCCTCTGAAGCCAGAATATCACAAATTTTATTTTTACAGAGAAAGAAATTTTAAACAAACGAAGCTTATCGCAGTATAGTATGCCTCCAGCGGAAGAAACTGATTAGAACACGAGCAGAAGGCTGGCAGGAATTTCGGGGATTAAAGCGGCGGCATTATCATCCGTGATTTAGTTAAACACTTCGAAACTGCACCGCGACGAGTCGTAATTAAATCATACGGGATTTATTGCACGGTCATGATTTAGACGGGATTAGAGTTTGATTCAACGCGAGTGCTCCCGCGTCATCGTTGCGTCGCTTTCGTAAGCCCGAAAGGGTTGTAACGCTGCGATGAATTATGAAAGTTAGCGACAGCCTCTGGGGACGAGCGATCGGTCAGTTGAAATATTAAGCTGCAAAAGAACGATGCACCAGGGGCCTCCGATCCGCGACAGCTCGACAAACTTCGCTCCCGAGAGCATCGAAAACACTAAACTGCTCATAAAAAGCACAATTCTGAATTGCGTTGAAACGCTGTTCTCCGCCTCGATCGTTTAAGGAGACCGGGTAGCCAATTTCCTCCAAAATGGAGTCTTTTTTTTAGTATTTAATCGCAAGAAAACGAAGCTGGATTTCTCCTGTACGCAATGTTTAGGATATTGGGATTAAACCGGAGAACTCGACTAGTTTATAGTCCACGTAGTTGCAGGTTGAAAGAATAGAAAGTTTCCACGTTTCGAATGCGTCAGGAGTTTCATTCGCTTCTTAGAGTCCACGAGCGAAACCGTGTCGCGATGTTAATTAGATCCTGACGCGCGGGTAAACCTGAAGGGAGCAAATAAACCCGAAATGGGGATTCAATCAAATTGCTTCGACGCCATAATCCATTTGTCGACGACGGAAGTTTTAATCGAAGAAAACAAAAGCCCTGGTGCCCCGATGAGGAACACTATTACCATATCAAAGGAGTCGCGACATCGCAAAACTCTCGATTCTCGAGCTCTACTTTCGGTGTCACATTCCGCCCTCCCTTTCGTTTCTCCTTCAGGGGTTGCTCTTGTTGTACCACTATGGACATCGAGAAGAAAAGTTTGGTTCGATGGTGATTCAAAGAGTTTTGGATGCACAGTTACTTATATAATAAATTATATTTTATGAAAATATTAATAAAGACAAGCCAGTGCAAAGGGACCACCTCGCAAAAAGAAAAGCCTTCTTGCTCCAGGGGTTGGAAAATGGAAAACAGAGGGCTCGGAGCAAACAGCGACGAAGCTAAACAGTTCTCGTGGCGTTGCTGTCCAAACGACACGCACCGCACGGATTTTCGCGGAGGGCCAGAAAGAAGGGTGGAAACGATTTCTGCCACCCCTACGGTTTAGCCACGGGACCGAAGGGGCGGCGTTCACGGATGAATGTCGTCGGAGTTATAATTGCAACGACGCGTAATTAGTTTTGGAAATTTAATTATTTCCGGGCGGACGGGCGGGATGCGCGATAAATGCCGTCGGCGGAGCCGCTCTGGCGCGAAAGCCTCGCGCGACAAAGAATTATCGGAGGGACTTCCCCGTCTAGCAGCCGTTAATCCAGCTTCGTGCAACCCCCAGCCAATGGAAAATCCGCGTCTTTCGAAACGCGCGGCCGCGTGTTCCTTCGTAACCCGCGGTAATCCGTCGACAAGCGTCACTCGCTGGTTTGTTAATCAACCTCGAGCGCCTAAGGACACGACTAATTTGCAGGTGTTGGCGGCGACGTTCGAGGGAAACCGTCTGGAACAGGGTCGACCACTTTTCAGAGTCACGTTAGATTGGTCTTAGCTACTGGGAACACTTCGATTGCGCGAAAAGGAAAAGTCGAAGATGATTGAAGTCAAAGAATAAATCCAATGGCAACGCGTAATGTTTCCTTCGCCGGTGTGTAAAGAGAAAATTAAAAATAGAATTAATACAAAAAAAAAAAAAAATAAGAGAAAAAGAAAAACATAATGAGAAACTGTCAACGACGATGGTCGAACGAGTAGGAGATAGGTTTTGCAAACGGGAAAGGAAAAATCCCGTTCGAAGCTCATTCGCCTAACGGTGCCTCACATCGCGCTCGATCCCGACTAGATATCGCATAGTTCTCGGGCATGATAGGTGCCGCGTCACGCGGACGAGCGCAGAAACGCGCGCGTCGAAGGAACGCGGGTGACGCATGAGAAACTTTTGTAACCGAGCCTCGTTCGCTGCGATTTGCATTCACTTCGTTATGCACCGCCAGTTACGAGCGCGCCGCGGCAAGGGAACTGTTTACAATCGCGGATTTTTCCCATATAGAAGCATGGTCGGCGGTTGACTAGAGGCGTGCCGCGTGCAATTAACGCTCGTTTACGACAAGATCGTTCCATTAAACGTTACAATGTGGGAAAAGTCTGGGCGCGTTGAAGTGTGCGTGAAACCACCTTGAAGCTCGACGATGCTTCTCCGTTCCTCTCAAAATGTACACTCATCGAGGCCCTCGGGAGCTGTAGCTCTTGAATGTTTTCGTCCAGCACAGTTCTGGATTTTATCATCTTTGTTCCTTTGCATTAATGCATGACCGTACAAGTAAACAAGTATTCGCACGTATGGAGTACGGTTTACCCCAGACGAAATCGACGAAAGGCACAATCCGGGACCTTCGTCGATAGCTACCAGCAATAGACGAAAACTGTTTGCGCACATTGTGTATGATTATACGTAACCGAGTACCGCGTGGACGATAATGTACCGGTAATAACGAGAACGCTGAAATTCCCTGGTACACATTATCCAAACACCGTGAGACGGTTAATACACTCGCGATTGGGGCTCGAGCAAACTCGACAAACCCCCGATCACAACGTGTTTTTGTCAACGCCGGCGTTGTGTAAACATGTCGATTGCGTTTTCAGAAATTCATGACTGGGTTGGCTGGTGGCTGTCGTTCTCCAACCAGCCGGGATTTGTCGCGATGAAAAATTCAATCGCGGTGTTACTTATGACGGAACGCTGAGAGACAGATGTCCCTGCACTCGAAACTGCGCGAGTCATGTCATCTAAGTGCTTTTTAGGTGGAGATACCAGCAATTTTACTCCTCATTCAGAGAGTAAATGTGGTCGATATTGTTTCGAATTAAAAAAAAAAAAAATATCTATCTAGTATCGCATTCAAGGCCCAAGGGACCAATTCTATTCTTACTCTCGATAAAAAAAGGTGCTCAAGGCAGAACTATTCTTAAAGAAGTCCACGAGATTTTGTGACCAGAAACTCTACACATTGAATCAAGTAAATATCGCAAGCGTGAAACGCAGTGTCAAGCGCAAGTCTCGACGTTCCCTTGTTTGCACACCGACGAACCGTCTCCAACGCGACTCGCCACTCGAGTTTCTCTTTCAGCGGAGGTCCTCGCGAAGAAATGGAAATTCGTCGGGGTTCTTTGTGCGATGGACGCGTGCTTTGTGCCACCCCTGACTTCCTCGACGCGTGCACGCGTCGCGGCCGATTGCGTTTTCAGAAATTAATGGCCAGTCGCGGTTGAATCTCTCGAGTTGCAGCGAACCAAGTGAATTCTAAGAACGGGTGTAGACGACACCGTGAAAAATTGATCGAAACCCAATGGGATACCCTTCGAGCACAACCATCTCCATCTTTTCAAACGGATCTTCACAAAAGCTGTCGCTCCCCTGAGTCTGACCCTAGCCGCAACCCTGAACACCCTTCCCGTTCATGAATCTTTGAGAATTCATCGCGTACCTGGGTATCGGTCTATACTTTTGTTTCGAAGGCTTTTCAGTGGTCCCCTGCGACCGCAGAATCGTTGAAAAATAAAATCGACCAGTGATCACCGGCCCCAACGATCCGAGATTTCAATCTGTGTTAATCATTCATTCGACAGTAGGCTCGTGTGGGATTCTCTGAGATTTTTTGTAATGAAAACTACAGGATGGATCGAAATAAATCTTACCGTGCTTATTAGTACGTTTATAAAAGTGTAACTTGAATTTTGTTGAGTAATTTATATCGATAATGAATGAGTTATTATTAATCCTCTCTCAAAAAAAAAGAAAAGAAATACCGATCACCTCAGCTATTAGCGAATTTACTAACGAAGTCTACTTTTCTTCTGTTCCAGCAATCATGGCTCATTTCTTCTTCCTGGCGGCGTTCTTCTGGCTGAACACGATGTGCTTCAACATCTGGTGGACGTTCAGGTGAGGCTTCGTGTCCTTTTGTCCGATCGTCTAGGGGTAGGGTGGCCATGATTCGTGGCAAAGGATTTAGCCACGTGTACTCTTTCGCGTCGGTGGTCTCGAATCGAAGCGGAGAGAATTTACGATCGATTGTCCCGAAGAAAGATTTATTTCTCCGTGACTGTATCCTTTTTTTGAAATTTTCTCACCGCAGAGAATCTCAAGGGTACATAAAAGGGACCTAAACAAAATTTCATTTAGATTTGACAGGAAATAATAATAATTGAAGGAATCGTTCGATTTCTCGTATTTGTCCCCTTTGATAAATAACTTAGTTAAACTCCTGTTTAATTAAACGTTACTCGAATTTTGCTCCTCTGCAAAACGAAAAATTGAAGAAATCTTCGTTTAATAGGCGAATGCATAGCGATGTACGAAATATGCACGAGAACATAATCGAGGACCTAAGTCGAGGACTCGAAACGCGCGTCGTTAGGGCGTTAAAAAAGAAACGGCGTTTCGTCGCAATTAAACGTCTGTTTAATCAGCGTTCCGCGAACGGCCACGGTGGAAATTCTTAAAATGCGTCGCGTAATTGGCGCGAAATTTCCGTGGAATTTCCTCGTGCTCGTAACGGGAATACCGAGGCCCCGTCCCAAAGCGAGATGTTGCGAGTAACCATGGGTTTGTGTACCCTGTCGATTAACACCGGCTGTCGGGTTATCGACCCGGCCGAGTTTCGCGCTACTGCGTCGTCTTCGATCGGAAGGCCACTCGTTGCTTCGCAATTACGCAATTGCCGCGCGATTACGCTCGCCAGCAATTAATTCATAGCGTCCGTGAGCAGATCACGCGCGAGTCCAGAAAGATGGCGAGAAAGGAGCACCTGAAAAATGTTCGATGTACCTGCAGTAATCGTAAACCTGAAGATGCCTCGATCTAAGTATCGATCGATCATTCGTGGAATTAAAATTAGGATTCCGTTCGCAAAATATATTCCGCTCCTTGTTGAACACACAAAAAGTGACCAGTACATGTGTTCGATCGATTAAACGTCGCCGATAAATCACAATACTGCCGCTTTTACGCGTCATCTATTATTCGAATAAAATTTCGCCCATCCCGGTTCGCAGTCCTGTCAGCTTTTCCTCGCTCGCGTCGGGACGAGCAATCATGGGAAATGATTGCGCGAAATTAGTATGATCGACCGATGAACCGTGCGGTTGCGTTGCAGCGTCGAATAACAGCTATTAATGCTTGTTCGATTAATGCAACTCATCGTTGCCGAGTAATAACGCGTAGTTACAGGACAGACAGTCTTTTATTTGTGGCTAGCCATCGCGGACGGGAAGTTTTTCAATTCAGACACAACCGATTATCGAACAGTGCTGAATTCGCAAGTGTTCCTTGGATTAGAATAGGAGAAAGGTTACTTGCCTGGAAAAATCTGTTTTGAGAAAAATTCCTCGTTTCAAATTTTAGGAGATACTCTTCACAGCGCATAGACCTTTGAATCGTCTGAAATTCATATCTCGGTTTATTCGCACGTATTTTATTCCGCGCGGGAATATGCGTAGGAGATCGTTCGATTTCTATGAGCAGAATCGACGAAACGGATGGTTAGTGGCCGGATCACGTTTGAAACGATGCTGGACGCGAAGGGGAAGAAGCAGGGCGCCGCTGTAAGAGATGGGATCAAGATCACTCGGTCGACTGGTTAATGCGATGCAACACGGTCGCCGTAACGGGTCTCCTCTCTTTCTTTCCTCTCTTCTTCATCGTCTGCGTCGATTTCTTTCGTCCCGAACCTTCGGCCGCCTCGTTTCTCACCTTTTTCCCTCCTCTCAGGACTCCACGTCGCTTCTTCCCCTCGTTTCTTCGTCTTGGACGTCTCACTATTCCTGTGCCACGGTTATCTCAATTTCCCGTAGTTCTTAAACCTCCAAGGATCGTAATAGAGTTTGCAAAGAGATTTTTGTGCATTTCATGTACAAAGTCAAACTGCTCAACATTTTTCTTATTATCGCCAACTTACTTTTTTTATTTATAGATAGTCACTGTTTAATATTCTCTATTCTTTTAATGCTATTATATTCATACATTAGATATTATTCTCTATTCATATAATCACGTTTTCATTCTTTAGATCCGTTGTAGAGCAACTGGTTAAGAATCGCTTCTTCTCCTTCGATGCTTTATAGCGTGAACACTTCCAACTATCTATCCTCTTTCGCGCCAAGTTGAATCGAATCGCATTCAATTAAGCATATCCAGCGTCTGCATCTCGACAAGGATGATTATGCACGCTCGCGGCACCGTTCGCCGATTATTGATACGACTTGCGGTGCTCTCGCGATATCGAAGGGAGTTACATTCGCGCTTTCGAGAACTGATCGAGCAACAGGAAGTCTGTAGGTTTTGCTCGTTTCGTCTCCTTAGATTGAGCGAAAACCAACCCGCGCGTCGATCAACGTTATCTCGATCCAGCATCGGTGGTTTTGCCATCCAGTGATCGAGAATCTGTTGCGAGGATTTCAAGAGTTGATCTTCTTTACTGGTAAAATGAAAAATCATACTAGGAATATTTCGTCGATATCTTGACCAATACACAGCCCCTTGATTTCTCCAAGAACTTAATTTCATCATCACCCAAAATTTAAAAAAACCTTTTGACAAGTTAAGAAATATTTTTGTTATTTCTTCGCAATTCTGTCAGTCATTCGCGGGGCGAATTAAAGAAAAACCGTACCAGAGCTACAGATTTCGCATGAATGTTCGATCGCTCGTGCACTTTTATCTCGGAAACACGCGTCCCGCGCATACGTCGAAACGTCAGCTACACGTGTGCGCTCGCGCGCGTTGTTTCCACTTGTTGAGGTGTCACCGACACGTTGCGTTCACGGTAGCTGCCCGCCTCCGCGATTTTCCAGCCGGAAAATTAGTCCTGTGTCATTTGCGGCCGTGCACCAACGTTTTCCACGGTCCACTGTCGTCACCATGTGGAAACCCCCGTCTCCATTCGGCTTGTTCCCTTTTCAAAGTGAGCTCCGGTCCGCGCGAACCGTACGGACCTTTCGATGGAAGGGGGGAGAACAAATTGGCTCAACGCTCGAGCAATAACTTATCAAATTTAATTAGCGACGTTACGAGCGTCTTAATAACGGTAGCAGCGCTGCGCGGTTGAGCAACGACGCTAGACGCTTGAAAAATAATTGCGCCATCGTTGCGCTCGATTTCCCACTGGATACCGACTGAATTTCCTCGTTTCTTCTTCATCCAAAATTCCTGATTCGAAGTTCCGCTTAAAATTTGATCGCCTCGGGACAGAGATGTCTATCCACGCCATTTCGCAGCTCCTAAAGTGCTCGCGGCTGATCGAGGGCGCAATCGCGGCGCCAATTAGCGGTAGCCGCGGTATCGAGGCGTCGATGAGAAGCCGATTCCATCACCGTTACGCTTAATTGCACGTCGAGGCTGCTTTCTCGCTGGCCTCTCGAGCCACAGCTCGCTATTCCTTTCGCGAGGTAAGCTCCTCGAACTTGCTCGCCTCATCCTCGACACACGCGTGCCCATTTTCTGAGAAATTCTTCAATTACCTAACATATCCAGCAGCTTCCCACGGTCACTGCAGCCATCGCGCACACGCTCGACGCGCACACCATCGCATCCCGTGACCTCGTCAGTCGCAGTTCCTGGCTGCTAGACTCCTATACGCTCGGCGTGCACTCAGCGTTTCTTCTCTAAACGAATTTGCATTCTAGAAGCTGGCTACGTCGCGGTGAGCCTCGCCGGCAAGATTTTTCCCCGTAGCTTGAGATACTTTCGAGTGTCCTTTTATGCGTGTTCGCGGGATACTCGGGACACGGAGAGGGAAGATACGGCTGGATTTTCACGGAAAAAATTTCGTCCACGGCGAAGGATCTTTGTAAAATTGCTTGTTGAAATATTTTATGGGCCCGGGGTCCTCGCGTGCATACTACATCGGTTAGAGCCGAGAGAAACGAGATACCAACCATCTCGAGCGGAAGTTCGCGTCTTTCTTGGCTCTGGTCGACCATTCTTCTTTTGGAATCTACAATATTAAATTTATTTAACTAATACAACATTAAGCAGCTGATTCATTAGAGACTATTCCTTGAATCCTTCAAATTAGAAAATAGAATAACAATAAATCTCCCTCAGACTGCAAAAGGAGATGAAAGAACTGATCGAAACCCTTATCCTGTTAGCATTCCCTCGAGAGTGCCAGTGAAAACGTCCCCGACGAATCCCAGTTTCAGAAAGCACCAGCATTTCCTCCCGTCGTCTTCGTTATAAGTAACAGTCTGGCAAGCGCCGATACGTTTAGTATTCGATAGCGTCCCGTGGAAAGTTAATTGAAACGATTCGGGTGGAAATGGCCAGCCACGAATTCGCCCTTAGCTCGAGTGGCACGATCGGTCGTTGTCGGTGGCGAAGGGAGTCTAATCTCGATCCTGTGCTGCGAAACAATGGTCAGTCCACGGGACGCGCTGGAGAACAAAGGCAGAATGTGTCGTCTGAGAATCGTTGTGCCGTCGGCTGTGTCGCTCGACGTACGCGCGTACGTGTGTGCAATGTGCATCGGTCGTTAAGGTCTCCTCTGTTCTCGAAGAGTGGCTCATTAACTTCGTTTATCTCGTCCCCGATAGATGCATCGGGGACTCGACTTCTTTGGCGACGCAAGATCGGTATCCTCTGCCTGCAGATTAACCCTTTGCGCTTGACGACATTCTCGCTAAAACGAGCTGGCTGCTTTGCACGATTTTGCAAATATTCAAGGAACTTCGTAGTAAGGACAACCAAACGATTTTAGTTGAAGATCGATGTATGAAAATATTATATTTAGAGCTTAGGACCTTATTGATGGCTGTTCCTATCAATGCTTCTAACAACGAAAACATTTGTGGTGCGCGGGTTACGCGGAGTAGTCTAAATCTGTTAAATCCTAGGCTAAGCGTGACCCACCTTTAATCTCTCGCATATCTTAGCATTGGCTCAAGTCGGATTAATGCGACCCAAAACACCCTTAATACAATGTATATTGCACTAACACGATCTTGCCTGTGTAACTATTCCCTGGACTAAACAGTGACGAATAAATGGATACAATGATCCTAATCAAACGCGACTCGAGTCAAAGGAATAACGCGTAGCATGCGTCCAGCGTGAATTCGTCCAGATGCTAAACGAGCACGCCTAGAATCGGCAATCGGCGACTGCTCTGCCAAGTAACGTTCCATAACGAGAAAGTTTCCTTATGTCGGAAGCATCGCAGCCCTAAACGAGCACGCGATACCCGCGGAGTTGGCAAGAAAGGCGAAAAGAAGAGAAAAGAAAAGGGAGTTTCAGAGACGCTGGAAACGTGATCAAGAAACACCGGCCAGTCTGTCGTGGCGTGCATCCCAACGAAGCTTGATTAAGGTCCCTTCTGTTCCCGAACACAGTGGCTCATTAATTCCGTTATCTCATTTTCCGCAGTCGCTGGATCACTTGACCGCCGCTGCAATACGAATCGATCTCTTCCCTCGAGCCAGTGTCGAAAAATCGCAAATTCGGATCGGATTCGTAGTCCCCAATCTCTCAGTATTATTCAATAGTACTTATCTTCCGTGAATTGTATTCTCCAAAACAAACCCGAACAACTTGTCCATCCACCACATAATTACTCGGATAATCCTCGTTGCATCTTTCGCCGCTCGCTACCGTCGATAGAACAGCTGGTCCCAGAGGTATAAATAGATTGATTCTCATTCATCGAAAATTTGCCGGGCACCCGAGCCCGATGCCAAGAGGAGCGTGACCCACATCCCCGAAATCGGGTACAACGTTCGCGTCGAATTTCGTAACATGGGTGTTTTCTCGATTCCCGATCGAATTAGGGGAGTGATCTAGCGTTTTGGATAATAGATCGCATCTTTATAAAAATATTTCTTTGTAACATCTCCTCCCGAGTTGGTTTTACTTTTCAGAGTTGAACGAAATCTAGCGTTTTAGCTCTTGCGCGAATTCAACTACCAACTCCCGTTATCAACAGTGTCCTTTGTACTCACGATTCGGCTCTATCCAACAATAGAGCAACAGCTTTCATTTAAGTCGCGGCTCCTTGGTCTCCTCGAAACGAACGATTCGCGCAGCTCGGTGTCCACGTTCGTCCAGACGAACGTTCGTAGCAGATCCCTTTGACGTTGGGCTAATTAATTGAATTAAGTAGTTTCCCCCGTCCCCGTGGCATTCTCGTTCGAACGAAGGTAGGATGAGTCGGTCTTCTTTTGCGCTCCTCTATCGTGTAACGTCGATGAATACCACGGATTACAGAGATCTTGAAGAGACTTCTGGTTCGATGGCCTTTCAAGAGAAACTCAGGCCGGCGCAGGTAAATTAGTTTAACTCCGGCGAGTAGTCCGGCAGCCACGGTCCCGATCCGTGGAAACTTCTTCGAGGGATTCTCGAGACTCCTGGACGCCGTGGCAACCAGATATCTCGCTGACCGTCCCGTTTGCGGTCGTCGCTGTCGGTTTACCACGGTGGTCGAGCGTCTGCCTACGACTCCGACCGCCACGAAACGGCGCAAAGTCGTGGGGATGAACCGAATTCGAGTTCTCCACGGTCAAGTTTCGCGTATATACACGTCACTGGACAAGGGACGTCGGTCCTAGATTCTGTTGACGCTTGTCAGCCCGACCGAATTCAAATATTGCCTCAGACCTACGCGACGTGCGTCGAAACGTCTTCGAGCATCTTTGGGGAACAGTGAAGGATATATTAGAGCTCTCGCCTAAAACACGTACAATGCGATACACGGGTGGGTACACGTGTCACGTGTATCTGGCTTGAACTTACTTTTTAAGTGAACATACCTGAAACCTGGTCCGTTTAAAATTTCGAGAGTACTAAATATATGTCTCTATAAAATGATTACCCAAGAGTCGCGTACGAGATCTAAAAATAGAAAACATTGGGCGTGAGTAATCGATAAATAAATCGAAAGTCAAACTTTGCGATACTTTCGCGTTTACCACGCTCTCGATCGGGGACACGTTCGATTCCGACTTTTTTCCCCCCCCCGTTCGCGATCGGTGTCGGGTAAAATTAAAAGTAGGTGAACGGAGGATAAGCCGAGAATTAACGGAGAGGGGATGGAGGTGAAAGTGTTTACGATCCATCAGCCGGTAAGCCCCCCGTCACTAT